CATTGGCTTCCCAGATTTTCCTTGGAGAGAAAGAGGGAAATTAAGTATCCCATTGAGATTCTTCTTCTGTTCTTCAAGTAAAAATGTACAAGAAGATCCCTATAAAATGCAGAATTGCAACGCTGAATTAATTGCCCTTTTGCATTTTCCTGAGTCTTGGTAGCATTTAATAGCAAAAAAATGTTTCATATGAAACTTTGATGTTTACAGATAAGTAGCAGAGACTTTTAGAAAGTTTATTGGAAAGAATCTGAACTAGATTAAGTGTCTAGTAAGCTTTAGAAGCTGCATGTCCAGATTAAAGGAATGGAGTTTGACTGGATGATATTAAGCCTATGCTTCATTTTGGGAATATTACTCTTTGATGTTCTGACACTTTGGCATGGAATATAACAAGGAATAAAGATCATACTGCAGCAAGCCTTAATTTATTTTTTTTTAAATTTTTTTAATGTATCAAGGCAGATGATCTTAAGAGAAATGTCTTTCACTTAGCACAGATTTGTGTGTAAGTTGGTGGTTTCTCACATCAGGATTTTAGTGTTATGTAGAGAGAGTTTCTCAGCTATCAAATATGAATGACTGTTGTTACTATAAATGAATTAGAGATTTGGGAAGAAAATGGATCTGGAGTTCTATGGTTAAATTCATTGTATTGTAGGTCTTCAACTTTACATCATTTATTGTATCTAGGTAGAACCTGGAAAATTTGTTTTAATCTGAACAAAGGCATCTTACATTGTCACAGTTGCACTTGATGGTGGCTACTAATTTTGCCTTTGTATAGTTCACATTTCTATTCTGTTTAATTCGTAGAGACTTGAAGCCTGAAAATATACTCCTTGATGACTGTGGTAAGTGAAAATTAAAATTCATTTTTAAATTGAGAATTACAAATCTAGTATTTTGCAAGAACTCAAAAGGATGTAACAAATGTGAACTTTGGTTAAAAAAAAACAAAAAACCAACAACCTGCCCTTGCTTTTTAGAAAGTAGGAAAAAATACTGGGTCTTTGGGGGAGGATGACGACTGTTTAAGTGGTCAATGTCCCACCTTAAAATGGCTGCTTATCCCCTTTTGCTACTCCTTCCCCTCTCTCACCTTGATTCAAGATGGCTAAAACTTTTATAGGTATTTGTTCTCTGTTTGTCTTTTCTTCAGTTCTAGAGACATGATTTGTTAGGTATGGGGCCAGAACTTTACTTAGTAAACTATAATGTTTAAGTATTAAAGAAGAAAAGAAATCTGAAGCATGTCTGTTGGGTTTAAGGTTTCATCTAAAACAGGTCTGATTGTCACTGATGCATATGTGGCTGGAAGGAATCCAGAAGTACAAACAATATGAAGAAATGTAGTTAGGTTTTTGTTTTTCAAAAGCCAAATTAATTTTCTTTAATAACATTGTATGAAATTTATCAGAATCTTTTGAATTCGCTGTAGAACATGTGCAGCAATTACCTCCTAATAAGCTGTGGACAAATATCAGTAGTTGTTCTTGTAATTGCTGAACATTTTAGTTCTGGAAAAATTGGTTTTGAAGTCATTACCACAATTTTTTTTTTTTTTTTTTTTTAAAGTCATCATGTTCTGACTGATACATTTCTAAAAAGGTGATGCTTGGGAGCAGTCGCTGTTCAAGAGCTAAAGCTTTACTAGACATCAAATACATTCTTTAATCTTTCTCTCCAGCATATCTCACAAAAGCTGAATGCTTCCTTGGGGAAAAATGCAGCCTTGCAGGACTGCACTAGAATGCTTCCTCTCTGCCAAGGATATTCTGATCTTGTTCCAGAGAGCAGAGGGGACTAATGAGAAAATCGCTTCAGGAGCTCAGATCCTGCACTTGAAAAGGGATTCATCAGATGTCAGGGAACAGAAGAGCATCTGAATGTATTTAAAATAGCATTGCTTGCTCAAGAGCTTTTAGTTATTTCCAACCAGTATATAGAATGGCACTTGACTTTCTCCAGTATCTCTTCCCACCCCTTGATTATCTATCACATGTAAATAATAAATGAATATACTATTAACTAACACTGATGCTGTAGAGCTTTTTGAATGACAAAAGAAATATGCACAAAGGACACAAGGAGCTACACAGAGGCATCCACTTGAATGTCCACTCTTGGAGGGTTTTTAGACAAGAATTTAAAAAACTTTGAACACTTTGTGCTGACTGCTTCCTCAGAAGGTTGTACTAAAGACCTTCTGAAGTCCCTTCCAGCCTGATTTATTCTATGAATCTGTGATGTTTTTCTAAATTACATTGTCCCTTCCTTTTATCCATTGGAAATTAGTGGGGGGTCTTGTTTTGTGGGGGTTGTATTTTCCCCTGAATCTTTCTACTGCAGATGATTGCCAATTTTCTGGTTTAAAATTGAGCTGAAAGTGTAATTGTTCTTTCTTCTGTCTAGCCTTTTATATTTTTATCAAGAAAGTACCTTACATATTTTTAAAGTAGAGTCATTGTCAATACTCTCTTCATGTATTGAAAGAAGAGCTGAATAATGATAAATCACTCCTTTCTAGTTAAGTTAAATTAACTTGATGCTATGAGTGTATGAATGTTTTGATGTTTTGGGGTGGTTTTTTGCACAAGATATGCTACAGTTGTGGTGTAGTTTTTTTTGTTTTCATAGCGTTGTTACTTTATTATTTGCTGACTATGTATAATTTATTTCAACATAAATAGGACATATCAGAATTTCAGATCTTGGATTAGCTGTGCAGATTCCAGAAGGAGAAACGGTCCGAGGACGGGTTGGAACTGTTGGTTACATGGGTATGTAAAGTAGCCTTCAGTAATTTTTTTACCAGAAAATTTTGTTCTGTGAATATATGAATGATTTGTCCAAAGAACGGTATTTGGCCTAGATTATTTACTAGGCAATTTATGGGAAGAAAACTTACAATATGTGGTGGTAGATGTCAGCCAATTATAACCTTACTGATAAACTTGAAAACTTAACTCTGGAAATTCTAGCTTTTGGGCAGAACTGTAAGAAAGCACCTAATTTTTTTCTGAGTTTCAAAGAGGTTTGCAGTCACAGGTAAACAGACAAATTACTATGACAACACATTTCTTACCATGCTTTGGAAAAACTTAATTCTCAATTTGTAAATAATACTGTTTTCATATGTTAAAAAAATTAAGTGCTTCTCTTGGATATAAACAGAGTCCTTGCTGTAGAAATTAACATTTCTCAAAGTACAGAGGAGCTAGGCAAAGATCTCTGCAGAGAGACAAAGAGTACCTGAGAGTTTTCCCAATATTCATGGGATTTCTTTGTTTTTGTTTTGTAGCTCCAGAAGTGCTCAAAAATGAAAAATACACATTCAGCCCGGATTGGTGGGGTCTTGGGTGCTTGATTTATGAAATGATTGAAGGACAGTCTCCATTCAGGAAGCATAAGGAAAGGGTCAAGCGGGATGAGATTGACCGGAGAGTAAAGGAAGACCAGGAAACATATTCTGACAAGTTCTCAGAGGAGGCAAAATCCATCTGCAGGATGGTGGGTGAAGATACATAGAGGTTTGAAAATTAAATTTCTAATCCTTTTTATGAGTGAACTACTTTATTTTAACATCATCTATTGAAAATTTGTCAAAGCTGCAGTTCTTGAGTCTTTCTTCGGTTTGGATGCAAGTTTGTGATTGTCCATGAATTGTTTCCTTGTCAAACTCTGAGAAATCAGAACTTTTTTTCAAGATGAAGGAAAATTGCATAAATAGATTTTTCATCATCTGAATGAAAAGACCCAATACTCTTTGGGCCACATGCAGTTACAGATGGAATACAATAGCAGGCTCAACTTTGATACTGTGTGGGGTGAAATAGCAAAGTAATGTACAGACTTTCTAGGCAAGGAAACTAGTATAAGACAAAAGCTTTTTTTTTATCTTGCATGCTCTTAAATTTCATGAGACATACTTATACAGAAAGCTAAAAAAGTTTAAAAGTTTTCTTTACTTGTTTATGCAAAATACGTGCTTTAATTAAGCACTCTGGAAAAAAAAAGTACATATGTATTTCCTGAAAATAAAGTCTACTGCAAAATCTGTACTGTACAACTTACTCATCACAGCATCAATTAAAATATTTTCCTATAAATTTGGGCATAATCTTCAAATAGTCTGCTTTCCGGGATTCTTTTTTCTACTGAAAATCTTGTTGTTCCCAGAATATTCTAGTTTGGATTTCCAATTAGTTTTGATACCATGATAAATTTCATTTAATAAAAGGCCAAGTAACAAACTTACTGAAAGACATTAGATATAGAATTTTTATTATTTTTTTTCTTAAATGCTGTGCATATATCACTGAATCAGCTTTTTTCCCATATCTTTGTAGTTACTTGCTAAAAATCCAGGGGAACGACTGGGTTGCACTGAAGATGGAGCTGCTGTTGTAAAGCAACATCCTATTTTCAAGAATATTAACTTCAAGAGACTGGAGGCTAACATGTTAGAACCTCCGTTCTTGCCAGATGTAAGTAGGTGAGACAGATTTGATTGGTATCTAAGAAGGGAGGAACGGTCTTAATTCTATGTCAGCAATTATGTGAACTCTAGAGGAACCTTTAAAGTTAGTTAAACTGGCAGAAGAATGCCATTGCAGCTATTTCTAGCTAGTTGTTTTGTGGCATTTCATCTGAGATCACAAAACAATGTACAATACTGGTATTGCTCTAGGGAGCTTTGTAGCTCTTTTCTTAGCCCTTAAAAGTCAGTTTCTATAGCTCAGATGGTGAACAAATGAAGATTAGCTTTGAAGAAATTGCTCTGGAGTTGAAAGGGGGGGTGTCAGAAGATGAGTGAATTATGACAACCGTTAAGAAACCCAGAGAAATCACACGCTGTTTCTGGTTTTGATCTTTTTTTTCTGTTAATTTCAGGATGGATGGGACTGCTCAGGTGCCTTTTGAGGAGAGTCTTTTAAATTGTTTTTTAAATTTTGTCTATGTTTTGTCGCATAGTGTAGTTTGGTGATCAGCAATGTGAAATACAAAATGGCAGACATTTTGCTCCCCCTTTGCTCAGCTAGGAAAGAAAAAGAAAAACAAAAACCACAGAAGAAACCCCAAACCCACAAAATCTTAATGACGCAATCTTGTCTTGTACTGCAGCCACGTGCCGTATACTGCAAAGACGTGCTGGACATAGAGCAGTTCTCAACAGTAAAAGGGGTGAACCTGGATACTACAGACGATGACTTCTATTCCAAATTCGTTACGGGTTGTGTCTCAATCCCTTGGCAAAATGAGGTATTGTGTATTTCATAAAAGGTTATTTTCTTTGTCACAGCAATACTGAAGATTTAATAAGGGATATAATTATAGTATTAACTACCTCTGTGAGATGTAAGGAAGTTTCTGCTTTAGACTTCTCTGCTGAGAAACTTCAGAAAAAAAAATTTCCTGAAACATAAACAACCTGCTAGAAACCAAGATGTATGATAAATATGCATAAATAGAATCTGGCATCCTGTCACCGTAGATACAACATACAGGACAGTATTTAGTATCAGTATGACCATGTTTTCCTTGTTCTTCTATCATGTTATTCAATATTGCCATTCATAGCAGAGGGGTAGAATGCTATTCAAAGTGTTCAAAAGCAAGTAGGTGCAGTGTAAGCTCTTTGTGTATCATGCCTGCATATCAATAGAGTATCCCAGTGACACAGTAATACAGAGCTGCAGATTCACCTTTTCTAAGGTTTCAAAACAAAGAGTTCAATATCAGTTGAGTCAGACTTTCTCTTAAAGCTTTTTCATTTGCCAAGTGAATTGAGTATTCCAGCATACTTCATAGAATACTAGAATTTTGCCACCTCTGTGTGCAGTTCACTTTACATTTAGGAAGACTACTTCGCCTATTATAAGATGTTCAGAACTTTCTGAAATCAGTATCGTCTTGAATTGTACTAATGTAGTTTCTTTCCTAGTATGACTTTTAAAAATTTATTTAAAGCTTGAACACAAAAGGTGAAAAATTTCTGAACAACTCAGATAAAAATGTACATTCCTGTAGAGAGCACGTGTCACAGCAGCGAGGCCCGAGTAACGACACACACCGATGCGATCAATGGTCGTTCTCAGTTTATTAGCCCAAATAGCCCAGTATATATAGATTCAGCTGTCCACGTGCTTAGCATACATATCAGGATTGGTTAGAAGCAATTATTCACGCGTTACAGTCTCATTATTAAATGAATATTAATCATATTGCCCTTGCCAAGCTTCTACCCCGCTTGTAGTTTTACCACCCTGTGAAAATTCTGCAAAAGGCTACTATAGTATCGTTTATGTTCCATCCTAGGCCTTCCAAGGATGCCTCAGGAACAATCTATCTGTCACATACACCTTGGCACTACTGCCTGGATTGTTCACTTCCCAAAAGATAAAGTCGTGGCTGTTGTCCTTCAGAAATGCCCCCACACATTCCCTTTTGTTTCCCATTTGCGTTTTTCTGCATTGCATTAAGGAGATTAAAAAGGTGTCACTTGACATATGAAGTCTTCACTATGAAGTAATGACTCTCAAGCTGTTGAAGAAATAAACATTTGTATGCGGTGTCATAATGGTTGACTTCAGAATATGATCCAGCCATTAAGAAATGCACTCTTTAGTTGCTGCTTAGTAACTAACCCCACATAGAGGGATAAAGTTGGAAGTAGTTGTGGAATACTGGTGATGGTGATTCCTTCTCTTCAAGGAATGACTGTGCAGACTTTATTTTATATTTGTGCTTGTTTTTTCTTTTAATTCATGTTACTCAACTTTGCCTTTAATCTTTTTTCTCAGTCTCTTAAGAATTCCTCTTCCCCTCCCATAATTTACCTAATGTCATGGTTTACAACAAAAGCAGATCACGGCTTATTCCTCTTGATGCCCTCTCTCACTCTATTGATATGCAGGCATATAAAAAAAAGTGTTTCTTTGCATGCCCATAATGATGGATGCGCATCAGTGGCACTCAAGGACATGTGGGCATTAGCCACTCTGCCCCTTCTGACCATGTCTGTTACCTTTGAGCATTTACTCTTTCTGCTGTTCCTTCTGCATGCAGTAATTGTGTTTTTAATTCTTCTTGTTTTCTATGTACACAAACACAGATTATTTCAAAATCTCTTTCCTCTCTCCAGAGACCAGTCTTCATGTATCTGTAGATCTTTTTTTTTTTTTTTCCCCTGAAGTATTACCTTCTCTACCTCATTGCCTTATTTCTCATTATGGTATATGTTAATTGTCTTTTGATAGACAGTTGCCCAAAACACCAGAATGATGTTTAAATTACAGTGGTTGGACATCTGCTGCTTTTTCCCCAAGAGTGTGATTTGTCCCCTTTGTAAAAAGTATCCCCCCAATACCAGTATACAGTATATGCAGGTATTAGTATTCTGCAGAGAAGAATAATTTCTCCTGCTTAGTGTCATGTTTATTAATTAAGTTCAGTCCAGGGCATGGGGATACTGTAATTGTTAGTCTAGACTGCTCTGAAATTAGCACAATAGATGAAAGGAAAATCAGTGTCTGGTTCTAAAAATTTTTGCTTACTGTGAAGTGCTTTTGCTTACTGAAGTGCTTTACCAAAGCAAGGAAGCATCGAGTACTTAGCTGCATGATAGTGCTTTCACTGCTGTTCTTCAGTTTGGTGAGTGTATAAGGAGAATTAATGCAGACTGTGTCTTCCTTCATGGAGCTATTTGAGTGGTGTAGTTTGGCTGATGAATTCGTAAGCTGTTAGGAGTAGCCAGCCAGAGCCAGAGCAGATGATACATGGGATTTGTGTGAGGGGCTTGTATGGATATTTCATTTGTATTTCATATGTTTCAAAGATGATTGAAACTGGATGCTTTGAAGATATCAATGCATATGAAACTGATGGTACTGTATCACCAGACAGAGAGAGGTCTCCTAAACCAAAGAGAGGCTTCTTTCACAGACTTTTTAGTGGAGAGGTAAGAGTATTTCTTGTCTTTCATTAAAAAATTACCAGTAAGACTTCAACATCCATTCAGTTTTTTATATTATTTAATGATAGGGAAAATAAGTCATTCACTGAATACTGAAACTAATGAAATCTGTTCTGTTATGGCTTTGCCACTGAACTGCATTTCAGAAACTGTAGCAATCCCTATTAGTCCAGGAGTTTTTCCTTCCTCAGCATTCTTCCTTTAGCGTGTGCTAGCCTGTTACCTGGGGAAAAGGTAGCATGTGCTGTTAACAGCTGTGCTATAGAGCTTTCTTTCCTGAAGATATTAATTTGGGTCTTGCTCCTTATGTATTTTGCCAGTTTTCTATAAAAACTTCTGGGGAGATGACTTCAGAAATAATTAAGGCCCTAAATAGTATTGACTGATGAACTCAGAAGTGGATGTGGTAGAGCAATGCAGCTCCAAGACTCACTCATTTAGAAAGTTGAGCTCCCAATGAATCAAGTGTGAAGTATCACAAAACAGATGTTAAAATAACTTGGTTAGTTTACCAAAACAACATAAATATATGTTTACATAGCTCCTACCATTTAGTAAACATTTAGAGGTGTATGAATTGAGGCTTTACTACCCAAAAAAAAGCCAGGTGGCATTTTTTATAGTGTTGTTTAGGTGTGCTTGTTTATAGGTCATGAAATAGCCTATTTGTAATGGTTTGCAGTTGAAGATGTACATAATTCTGCTTGCTCAGTATGCCTGCACTTAGAGTGAAATTATCTTGAGAAGCATATTGCAGTAGAGAACATTTCTGTAGAAATTACTTTTGCTTTCAAGCAGAAATAGGATTTTAAAATTTCTACAAGCATGTCATTAAGTAGCCACAACAGGACGATGTATTAAAATTGCATGATGATATTTTTTTGTCATCAGCTGGTAAATCTCCTCTCTAAAATGGTGCAATGCTAATGGAATTTATAATAGTGCTGTTGTTTTTAGTTCACCTTTTCAAATTCACTCCCCCCCTTACAGTAATGGAACAGAAGGAATGGTTAAGTGTACTAATAATTTCACGTAGCTAAGGTTAAAGCTTGTGTTTTACTGGAATCTCTTCCAGATGAACTAGCAGGGCTCATACTGTCTCAAGATAGGGTTTTGTGTGTTGAGAAAGAGTCCTAAGAAAATTAATGTGGCTTGTGAGCCTTCAGCTGGTTTGGAAGTAATAAGTCTAGAGTTAATTGTCCTGTGAAGTTAAAAGAATTAAAGAACTCAAGGTTAAATGAAACTTTAATGACTTGAGATTTGGGGTTGGGTTGTGGTTTCCTTTGATATTCCCAAAGCAGTTAGTAAGTATGGAGTAAAATGTTCTGGAGAATGAGCCACCCACCCCAAAGGCTTTCTGTACTCATAAAACACACACAGCAACAACAGTGTAAGTTCTGCAGTTGAATCGTCTCTACCTTCTCTTGCAGGTCTGCTTTAAATCTGATTGCAGTGATGATGAGCAGGAGTCCTCCAGACTTTAAATCATTTTACTCTTTTCAGAAAGGATGAGCAAACTTTAAATGTTTTATATATCTGTAGCAAAGTGTATTATATATATTTTTTACCTGAGTTCAAAGATTTTTGTACATTTGTACTTCATTTGTTTTAAGATGTATATTTTCACTAAAGCTTAATTGTACAAAAAGCAATGAGTGCCGTTTGAGTGAGTGTGTTTCTGTATGTATTTGATTTATCTTGATTTTTTTTTTCTTTTTATTCCCCCCCAGGGGAATGAATCTAGAAATACTAAAAGGATTGTATTGTACAGAAATAATATCTATGGAATCATGTAACTTGACTTCGTATGCCTCTGCTAAAACTTTTCTTATTGCGATCTGTACTAGCAGTTTTCTTAACATTAAAATTGCTGTACCTAGAAATTAATTTTTAATTCCAGTATTATCTGGCAGCATGGCAGTGCTATTACCCAATCTATCTCTCAAGCTACGGAAAGAAAAGAATTCAGTGCACTGTAGCCAGCTTTTACAAACTGCTCTTAAGTATCCGTCTCTGTAGAATGTATTTCTGTATATAGAGAATTATAAACATTTAGCTTAATTCTGTAACAAACTGTATTACCCCATTCTTCTTTTCTACCCTTCTTACACGTCCTCTCCATACAGTTTCATGGCATTTACCATGCAAGTAGACCTATGGTAAAATTTTATAACTATATTTTGAGTACTTAATTGTCTTTACTAAAAGGATTTATTTTTACCTGTGGGGCACCTTTTTATTTTTTTTTCTGTAAATGAAATTGTTTACAACTCCGTGTAGGATGTTACTGTTTTATAATGTGTTAAAAAAACAAAGCATGGGTTCTTCTTACTAACCTCCTCTTTGCTTACTGTGTTGTAATCCGCAGCGTTGTAGGGTTGACAGCTATCACTGCCACTGAGGAAAGGACAAAGTAGTACTAAGTATCAAATTTAATGATGTAAATAAACTCTCTGTATAACCTTCAATAATGTAAACATTAAAACCTGCCTTAAAAGATTGCTGAACGCAGATGTGAAGCTGGTATTAAAGTTTTCCTGATGATTACTTGATGTTCATTAGTAAAACTGTTTCCAGCTGCTTGAAAGCTTGTCAAACTTCTGTTCTTCTGACATATGCCAGGCTTCCCTTTTATTTGGTAAAGTTTCCAGTAAGACTATTGATCTGTGTGTGAGAACAAATCCAGGCAACGAATTTCATTAAGATCCTCTTCTCTTTTCAAACGTTGAGTTAGGGACTTGAAATACAATGGAATGCTCTTGGAGTTGGAGACATTACTTTTGTTAAGTATTCCGTTTTGAATTCTGAAGACTTGTCTCCACTGAGCAAGCATTTTCGTTCCTTTCACATCTCTAGAGTGCAAACCAGACCACACAAATATTATACACCCAGAGCAACCGAATATTCCTCTACCTGAAATAGGTTTCTGCTTGTGATCCACTGGAAAAAACGTAAGCTGCTTCTGAGGAACAAAAAAGACACATTTGATAGTCTGACCTATTGTCAGGTTTTAATTCACAGTAATTTGTCTCTAGAGACACATGTTTAATGGGTTAGAATTTGAAAAACGTTGGACAACCAGTGTTACAGAATCCCACTGGGGCTGAGCTGGTGTCTATCTGGAATTGTTCCTCTTGGCTACTCTGCCACAGAAATGAGGAAAGAGACTCTCTTCCTGTGTTTTCAGTGTGTTTTTCCCAATGTCTAAAACAGCACAGAGGAAAAAAAAAAAAAGACTTATGTAGAAAATACAGAGGGAGCATTCAAATGAAGTACTGGAAGATAATCTGATGCAATAGTAGAGGGATGGAAAGCTTGATAGAAAGAGAGATACTTTAAGCAAGAGTGTTGGCTGGAACCATTATCCATGAAACGACAAGCTGGCATAGTCTGACCTGACTCTTTATTATGCACCACAGTAACAGAAGGATTTAAAAAAGATCAGCATGAAGAAATGGGGGAAGTAACAGAAGTGTTTTATAAATACCTACCTGGTTGGAGAAGTCGTCATGTTTTTCTGATAAGAGTTTTAATCTTTTAAGATCTTAGTCTTGCTGTTCTGGGGCAAAGGTGACTGTATTAACAGTAGACATATGGGGTGACAATCTGGATTCAATGTCTGCTTAGAGCAACGTGAAATTTGGGCAAGAATACCATGGACAAAAGCCAAGTAGTTTTTCTGAAGGAAAAAAAAGAATTTGAATCTTAATTTGTTGGGTTTAACAAATAAAAATCTGGAAGTCTATTTATCATTTTTTTTTTTCAAATTTTCTGTCCATATTAAGGGAGGACGGATCCTAACTTACAAAAAAAAAAAAAGTAAAATCAGCTCCTCCATTTTGGAGTGCTGAGACTTAACACTTGCTCGCCAGGGATCTGTGAAGAAAGAAGGGTAGGTGAAGAGAAGAGGGATGTTGTTCCTAAGAAGTGGTTGTTTATACTTCCTGTTCTTTAGACAGGGAACTCCAACCATGCTAGAAAGTTGACAATTTGTTAGTCTATATGAAACTATTCAGTTGCATTTCACAGATTTTTTTTTTTCTTATGCTCTGAATAATACTACTGAATTTTATTTTTTAGTAACTACATGTTTGCAGAATTAGGACCTAAATTCTGTTGGTTTTGGGGTTTTGTTTGTTTGGGTTTTTTTTCCCCAATAGGCTCAAGATGGCATTTTTTCTAGTATGAATTTGTCCCTTGTGGCCAGAAATAGAACCACACAATAATGACTAGATATTATCTAATGTGAATCCCCTAATGCATTAGAAAAGACAAGAAACTGGAAGGATCACTATAATTTACCTTATACAGTATGTGGAAATTAAGCTGCTATGCTGTTTAATCTGAAATGACTGACATTGCTTAAATGACTTTACAGGAGTATTAGTAGCTTGGAGATGCATTTTGAAAGTAGGAAAAGGGTAAGTAGAGGGGAAAACACCTGGAAGCAAAATACCACGGTGTGATAAATTTAGTATTAATTTTGCTCTTGATTTTTGTAGGAAACAGCTGAGATAAAGACAGCGGAAGGTAGCAGGTTGTGTTTACTAATTATATGGCCTTGTATTGCCATGAAGCTGTTTTAAAAAACAAAAAAACCAACAACAACAGAAACATCAACAACAAACCCAACACCAAAGCATAAAACAAGGTAAAGTCTTATCGTTCACTATGACTGCATTATAACTCCATGAATTAGATTCTATATTCATGTGCCAGGTAATCCAGCAGCCCAACTGCTTTGTTCTACTGGTGCAAGCTATGGAAAGATGTATGGAGTTCCATGGAGTTACTTGCATGAGATCAACTTGCCTTTCATGTTGCTGGTGCTTCCAAGTATTTGTGCATGTAAGTCTTAACATCTGCTTGTGGATCTGTATATTTAGCTCAATTCAGAAACTGTGAAACAATGTACTGCTATCTTACTGGTTTACTTAATGCATTTGAACATTGTGACCAACAGAATCTTCATGCCTCAGGGTTGTTCTCTTTCTATAAAAAAAAAAAAGTCAGCTTTTTTTTCCCTCAGAGATCCAGTGTTCGTATGGTCTCAGCTGAAAAAATAAGCACCTAAAAATAATTAAAAATAAATAGGAAAATGACTGTGGTATTTCTGTAACAGAGTGCTACTGTCAAATCTTAGGCTTTAACAGATGTTGTATGTCTTTTTTTTTTTTCCAAATCATTCTTAAAACAATAGATCTGAACATTTTTTGATTATGAAAGAGAAATAGCTCTACCTCAGAATAATATTGTTTAAATTGAGAAATCAGTGATAGAAACTATTAAAAAAAAAAAACAAAAATTGATTTTTAGAATGCACTTGAATTATTTTTCAAATATTACTGATGTAAGAAATATCTCATTACCATTTTTACAAATGGAGAATACTTGTTTACAAGTTACTAAAATAAGTCAACAGAGTAATATTATCTTGCTTTGCTTTACTGTTTAGTATTACACTAATTTAATATTGGAATTATCACCTTCACTTTAGTATAGATTTTCAGAAAATAATTCTCTTTAGGAAGTATTCAAGAAGATGAATTAAAGTTTTAAAATTAACAGAAAGCATCTTTAAGGTAAATTTATATTTACTTTGATTTGAATTACCTGCCTATCTTATTTTGGTGATGATAGTGTCTCTTCTGAATGTGCAAATGCTTTTTATTTCATAATTGTTTTAAGGGTGTAACCAGTTTTGCACATGAGGTGCAGGTAACTTTTCTCATATTCCAAACCAGCAGAATTCTTTCCAAGTATAGCAAAGCTGACTGTTAAATGTGATGTGTTAGTTCCAGTATCTCCAAACCACTGAACTGTTCTTATATGAGCTGTTTTCCTGGATGTTCTCACATTGTTATTCCTGAAATAAAACCAAAACACTGCCACATATCTCAACCACATGTATTACTGTCAAATGTGATTTATTTACCGTGTCTGTCATGGTAGCCAGGATAGAGAAAAAAACAATTTGAAAAAAAATTGTGGTTTGTCAAAGCAGAAAAAATTTAATACTTGCTATAAGTTCTTTATCCATGTAAGATTATCTGATCCAGGAAGAAGTGCCTTAGGTTTGTTATATTGGCTCATTTGATACCTCACCTCATGGTCTGAATCTGGATTTCTATATAAATTTCTGTGGGAAAAGAGAAAACTCTCCGGATGGGCTGGTTTTCATTAACTCATTTACTGTGATAACGCTACGAAGGTGAAGGCAAGTTTGGTCAATAGTAGCTGTAGCTCTTGTCATCAGCCTTATTGTGCAGATTAAATTTTTTTTACTGTCAGCAAAAGAAACTAACCAGATTTCCCTCTCCTTGACAGAATTTGTACCATAGTATTAGTTGGATTTGTGCAGTTCTGTATCAAATACTTTTCAACAGCAGGCTGCTTGTATTTTCAACATTTTGCCCTGGTTATGCAAAGCCTTTAATTTTATTACATGAGTTGAAGGGCTAAGCACTCATTCTATACAAAACAGCTTCAAATGAAGTGACTTTAACAATGACAGAACTGTGCTATGGTTTATTGCAGATTATCTGTACATATGTTCAGCCACATGGGACAGCCTTCTCATGAAGTCTATTGGATTACTTGAGTGGTACCAACTACTGCTGAATTGTTCATGGAAATGCAGAATTGTGT